CTATTTTTAGATTATTTATATAAAAATAAAAAATAATTGTTATTTTCGATTTATAAAATAATAATCAGAAATAAAGGTTATTTAAAGAGTAATTAAATAAAAGTCAGAATATAATTGTTAAAGACCGATTCTTTTAATAAAAGTTTTAACTGTTACGGTTCCTGTTTAATATACATATATAAAGCCGCATTTTCTCGATAAAAAAATCTTTTTAATGATTTTATAACAAATTACGAAAATATTTTTTCCCCGTGCGTAATACTTATATGGAAAACTTCAGAGTTTCGGCGGCACGATAAAATATTAACCGGCTTCGAAATAAAAAATACGGGTCCGACGTTATGGTAAGTGGCAGCAAGAGAAATTCTAAAAATTAATTTTCCGGTGTAATTTTGGACCACCCCAATGTAAATATATACACACATTCAGTGCATTAATGATTTCGTTTCAAAGTTTCATACGTGATATGCACGGTAGACCGTATAACCCAATTAAGCTCAGTTTGTTCCAAGCTATTTTAAACACTCACTATGAGAGTATTTCAGGAGTGCAACATTTTTTTTTTTCGACACGCTGTAAAAACAGCCGATTCGGGGTTTTATATGACTACTATCCTATCACAACAAACTAAGAAGTTATAGTGATTTTTCTGAAAACGGCTGCTTTTACAGGGGGCCGAAAAAATTGGCTCTCCTGAAATACTCTCATAGTGAGTGTTAAAAATCACTTGAAACAAATTGAACTTTTTTCCGCCCATAATCGTGATACGGTCTGATGTACCGAATCGTTTAACATTAATGCATTAATGTAAAGCTATCAGGTTGATGTTTTTGTCATCATGCCATCACTATCGGCTAATTTCACAATAATCCCCTTATCAATAATATTTATTATCAATTTTCCAAGTAAAGTTGTAAACGAACTGTTATACAAATGTAAGTATTTATACATACATATGTATTTCTAAAGACAAACAAACCCCTATCTTACAAGATAAGTCATAAAGATAAAATACTACGTAAATATATACATACATGCGTATGCATGTATAAAGTTTACACGAATAAAATTCCCTGTGTGTAAATAAATGTAAAGAATTTTATTGGCGTTTCTATTATTCAGCTCTTACAGCACTCAACAAAGCTAAGCATAAGCCTTGGCTACATCAGGAAAGTTTTTGTTGAGCTGAACTGATTCTCGATAAAAATTTCTGCACACACCACTCTCTAACTACCAAAATGTAAAAATCTGTACAAATCGTGTGATCCCTGTTTAAGCATACTTACATACAACTCTTATAAACCAAGTATTTAATGGTGAAATTAACACATTTTCATTTTGTTGAATGTAAGTCTAAATACCAAAATTTATTTTTATAGCATTACATACTTCACGTTTAGAGGGTGAGTCAATTCCAAATTGACTTAATGCCAATTGACATTATTTCACTTTTGGCCTGTGTGTTTATGTGATTGACATTAATTCCATTGACATTATTGCACGCCACCGTTTTTTTTTTTGTTATTTATTTTTAGGGTAACCTAAAAAAAAAAAACTTGAAAGCCTTTGCTCTCCCTTGATTTTTGACTTATGACGTTCTTCTAGCAAACGAGTTTAAGTATAAACCTCAATTTGTTGGTGTGTATCTTAAATATATCTATAGATAATAAACAATATTTTAAAAGTTACCAATCCCATGCCTCCCTCAAAAACGAATACAGTATTTTAAAAAAGTAGCTGTACTTATGAAATTTTTTATATAAATTTATGTAAATGTGCCAGTATTGCCTTAATTAAAAAATATATGCAGTATCCGCCTAACATCAAAAATAAAAGCAAATGAAAAGTTTTCTAATAGCGGTCACCCCTCGGAAGGCGATGGCAAAGCTCCGAGTGTATTTTTGCCATGAAAAAAAGCTTCTCATAAAAATACAATCGCCGTTCGGAGTCGGCGTAAATTTTGCTCGCCTTTGTGTGACAACAGCAAGCCCCACGCCATAAATCGGAGGAGAAGCTCGGCGCAACACTAACATATTACGGCTGTTCAGGATTTTGTGCACTTTTTTTGAGACTTTAACTCACTACACCCCTACCCTGTACGAACCGAACAGCCCTATTGTGTAAGCGCCAATCTATTACTTATTATGTGCAAAAACGGAAGCACGCCATCACACGATTTAAAAAATACAAGTAAACAGCATTGTAGTTTTAAATTTTTTAGATACCATCACAAAGTGTATAAGTACTTACTGTAATAGTATAAGCTTTATACATTAAAATACCTGTAGACACATGTATACATTGAAGTGAAAACTTAGATGAATATTTCGCGTAAATTCTTACCTTTAAATGAGAGTACAACATACACATGTATGTATATACTAGGAATTTTAATCCCGGGATCCCGGCCTTTTTTAGGTTCTTGGCAAATAATACCGGGATTTTCGGGATTTGTAATTTGCACTGATGGCAATAATAGAAACTCCTTTTCTTGACCAGTATTGGCTACATTTCTTTTTTTATTTAATAATTAACATATAACACCGTGCGATAGTAAATTTTACACACAAAAATCAATATATTAGCCCATGGTCCAAATATATTAAAATTGCTTTCTTAGTTTTTCAATCTGACGTCAGTAATCCAAAAATGATATGCTTAGAGAAGAAATATGGGTATCAAATTAAAGACGAAATTCTGTAGATTTAAATCAGATTCAATGTTTTGGTGCATAAGGACTGGTAAGTATTGAAAATGTCCTTTTGAAATTTTATCCTTGAAATTTCGCAGTATTTTTTTTTAATTATATATTTTAAAGACTTATATAAACTCGATAACATCCTCGAATTTCGTCCTTCTAACTTTATCAGCTTAAAAAATTACCTATTCGTCCTTGTGAATTCAAAAAAAATTTAATTATTTAGATTCTAAAGAAATTTCCTCTTTCATTTGGTGCCAATATTTTTATTCTACATTGCATTGAATTTTCGGAATTAATCATATCTTTGAAATTAAAAAGTCCTTTAAATAAGACCTGACGTCAGAGAAAAAAAATAAAAGCGCCACTTTAAATATGAAAGTAGGTTTCAACCCAGAAGCAATTTTTCGATTTAAGTTGTTGAAAAGTAATGTATATCTAAATCCCGGGACTAATCAAGGGATCCCGGGATCGATAAAAACGGAAAAATTAACATCCCTAATGTATTGTAGAATATGTGTTTATATGTATTTACACACATATGTATGTACATTCAAAATTGGCTGTAAGCATTTCGGTACGCGCTCAATTACTGATAACAGAAAAGCACTTGAGTAGTTGCTTAATGAGAGCAGTAGAGCGTGGCACAGTGTCATGAAACCTTTGTAATTATAATGAAATTTAGTTGTGATGTTATTCGCCGCAGATAGCTTTATACTACTATGAGTCGGTTTGGAGGTCAATAGTTAATTAATAGAAAATCCGCTGTTTTCAACTATTGGCTAACTAATGGGTGTATATTTGCTAACTATCAGTCAACCATTAGTCAAATTGATGCTGTGAAATGAAAATTGGCTGGTTAACATTAACCTATTAGTTAACTAATGATTGTGAAACGGCCTTATTTATTATTGGAAAACTTGATGTACATTTGTATATCAATTACAGATTTCTAAGCTTTAGCTTCCGCGACGTTATATGTAGATATGTACATTAGGGCGGAGTAATTTGTTTTAGCAAAATTTTCGAAGATAGTATAAGTATAGCAAATTCAAATTTTACGTTTAATTCTATGCAAAAATGGCGAACAAACTATATACCAAAAATGACGTTTGACCCTCCCAATTTTCAAAAGAAAAAGCAGTATATTGTAACTATTTTGGTCGAAATTGTCGATAAACTGACAGTTACCGAGGCTTATTCGTCGTTCTCAAGCCGTACTTCTGCCATGCTGGAACATATAAGAATAGTACAAACAATGTTTCTCAACAATGTTTCTTCATGTTCTATTGCAACCAAGCGTACCCAGCGGCCGCTTTTGGTAAAACTTAATTGCTAATTCAGATCCTTCGGACCCCAACTTAATCATGGCAGAAGTTTGAATTTTCCCCGTAATGACTGCTTTTTTCTTCCATACAAAGTAGCTCGAAAGTTTGTTTTTTATATGGAGGGAAATGCCGAGCACCTTCAACCACAAAAATTGGCAAAAATCCACGCGAATCTTTAGCAACTTCAAAATTTGCCTGTATCATACTCAAATTAATTGGGCTATAAAACCGCATACCTATGAATAAAAAGTTAGTAAATTTTTCTAAATTTTTTTTTTTAATTTTTGCACAAAGATTGAAGTTTTTATATATGTAGTTTTTGTAAGAGAGTGAGCTATACTTTTATAAAAAATTGATAAACATTGAACAAGCAAAAGAAAAGTTGTCAAAACTACACTGAGAAAAGAGTTTAGTTACGCCAACTAAATATGTTTTTCTGAACAAATGATTTGGTTATAGTTACATTATTTGTTTATAGTTACCCAATCATGTGTTGAGAGGAATATATTTGGCTGACTTTTTCTGAGTGTATATACATATTTAAGTGCGTATGAGCTGCTTCCCGTGGGCACTCCCTTAAATTCCGGCAAGAAAAGTAAGGACATTTTTTCTCTAGCAACAACATCTCAATACTTCTTACTTATTCAAATGCTTAGTTTCCGAACTCCGAAAGATTAACTAATTTTTGGTGTACTCATTACACTGTGCGACGTTCCATCGACTAGTAGATACGTCTGATATCGTTGTATACGTGCTGTCGTCTAGATAAAACCACCTTACTCAAAGCGCTAATAGAGTACGGTGTTATAAAGTCATTCGCGTACAGTTAGTTACTGGAGACGTGCAGTGGATTGTAACGAAACGCACGAAAATACCTAAACACCGAGAAACCGCGACAATTCCAGCGTAAAAGTTTACATTGAGTTCGGTTGACGTGGATTTGCTGTAAATGACAAACGTGAAAATGGCGAAACAGCACTAAAAGTGACATTAGTTGAAATGTTATGAATGTAATGCGTATTTTTGGAAAATAGCAAATGTTCTTAAATGAACACAAGTGTTAAAAGTCATAAAAATATATGTATACATATATATATATTTATATATTTATAGTCAACCAAACACACACATACTTAGTGCTAATGAAGCCACTCTAAAAAAACTGTGAATGCGTTAAAAGTTTGATCTACTAGTTGTGTTTTTAATTTTTGTTTATTCAACTTGTTTGCAATCTACATATTCAATGATAAAATTTATACAAAAACCAAAAATGTATACATTGGAGTTAATGAATCACGTTGGTGATTATCTAAGTAATATCATTCACTTGCAAGTAATGGATATGACGAAGGGCAAAGATGAAGGTGAGTGTGGTATGAAGAAGTACTAGCTTCATTGTGCTTTGTAATTTAAGGTACAAAAATTACTCTTAAATCCAGTTCTCATTATTTGGATCGGCAAAAGTACATATGTATGTGCTGCTGCTGCTGATTCGTTTCGACTGGTACTGCTGCACTTAAAGTACCTTTTGTTGTACATACATATTTGTAGCGGCTTTTACAACCACTCTAACCGCCAGACCATTGCAGTTCATTGTAAGTGCTGTGCTTGACACTTTTGTGGTTTTCAAAAGTGGCAGCATTACAAATTTCCCGTTAAGTGGTTTTCACTTCATCCTTCCCTGCTATTATTATTTCATTTCGTTATAAATATTTTAATTGTTTCGAGAACTCATAAATTTAGCTGTTCAAACTAAACCTTTGGCACAATTGAAAAGTCGCTGTACCCTGCAGGAAATGTATCTAGCTATAAGTTAACTTTAAGTTAATTAGGAAGGAGCTAAAATTCACTTATTATCTGTATATTTTCTTTGGAGAAAGTTAACTATGCTTCTATGGCGATGGCCGCGAAATAGTCAAGGGCTGTTACCTCTGCATTTGATGTAACTAACTTTCAACTAACTACTTTTGGAAATAAAATATCAATAGGAAAAACAAAATATTTATTTTTATTTTTTATTTACTTTATTTATTTTATCACATTTCATATTTGTTTACATATTCTGGGGTAGGTGGTCCCATATTCGAAGTCCTTCAGACATAACTTCAAAATGATAATATGAAATTTCGATCTTCCTTTTATTTGTCCTCAATTCGAAAAAGTATTTGCGAAGTGCAGGATATTTAAATAGAAACGCGTTTAAAGAAAACAATCTCCTTCATTACTCCTGCATTACTTGCCAACTAGTTTCAAGTTAGCCTTTTGTAGCTAGCTACAAGTTATATATTTTATAGATATCCCGCAAAAAAGCTAACTACAAGTAGGTTATTTATTATCAATTGATAACTTTTTTCTGCAGGCTATGCTTATACGTATTGTATATACATATGATAAACCTTGATATGAAAAGCTAACAACAAAAAATTAGCACATCAATGTGTTTTGCAAAGTAAAATGAAAACAATAAATGTTAAAAGCAATAAATAAATGTATAAGTTTATGCGTATTTATGAACATTCGATCGGCAATGTACTCGTACTTGTGTTAACACACATTTACCATAAAAACACAAACCAACGATATTATTTATCGGTTCGCCACGCTTGGCTTAGTGAAGGCAAGTTTTCACACAAACTCCCCACAAGCGTTTTTTTCTCTTTTCACACATATCTAAGTACATACAGTGTCAGTGAAAATCGTACCGTAATTTTTTTCCATTTTTTGAAAATATTTTTTTTTATTATTATTTTTTATAAAAATATAGTTCATACTACAAAAAATCCATTAAACTCAAAGCTTCTACTCTTGTAACAATTAGAAAAGCAAAAAATTGTAAAATTTTCATCAAAATTTCAAACTTTTTGTTCAGTTTTGGGTATCTCCAAAGATGTATTAATTCAGCATTTACCTTATCGTATCACCTTAACCGAATACAATTTTTCAAATAGGTGGCAACTCTTATCAAAAATTAATTTTTGGCAGTGAACTTTCCCAAATCTCTTTAGTTTGATACCCATATTGCAATATTTAATTTATCTTATCAAATTAATCAAATTAAAATTTTTAAACAGGTGGCAACCTTCCAGAAAAATATTTTCGCCTTTAAGCCTTCTTAAACCTTTTTCTTTGGACAGCCCCATTGCCATATTTGCTTTATCTTATTAATTTACTTAAACTCGATTTTTCCAACAGGTGGCCGCTTTCTAATTATTTTTTCCTATATTTTAGGTTAACAATGCATTGGTGTAAACTGCATTCGATTCCATGTTTTAGTTTTTGACAGGCAGACAGATACACAGATAAAAATTGTAAAAATTGTTGATTTGGCTTCTGTTGCTCTAATAATGACCCCCCATATTGTTTTTCTTTAATATCTATAATGTACAGACAGCGGCCGGTTACACGTTTGTTATACATACATATGTATGGATTAATAAATTTTAAATACAACAAAATATTCGATTTTCACCGACACTCGCTGTAAGTGTGAATTGCTCTTTTTATTTTTTGCACCCATACGCATATTGTGTTTTGGCGTAGAATAAGTGATGAAATTTCGTCCTTCGTGTACATAGTTAAGTCCACAAACATATTTATGCACAGTCAAAAATAAGTATATCCTGCGTTTTGATGATTTTATTTATTTGTATTTTCTACACCAAATTTTTCTTATTTTTTCTTTCTAACCGACTTCAAAAAGGTATATTTTTTTATGAACGTCACCGCATAACTTTGGAACATGTTAACCGATTTCTTTAGATCTTTTTTTAAAGGAAGAGGTGGTACTAATCTGGTTTAAACCCGATCATTGGATCATGAAGAGATTAACTGGTCTCTTAAATTTTTATATGAAAATTGAAGTCGGTTTGGTTTTTTGCTTAAAAATTACTTGTATAAAAATATGTATAGTTTATTCAACAGCAAAAAGTACAAAAATTAATTTTGAGAAATGAGATTATTTTGTTGAACCTGTAGAGTATTTTGACATTTAAAGGGTTGCTGCCACCTATTTAAAAAGTAAAATTTAATTTCAATTATTTAGCGTTGTTTTCTCAAGTAACCTGTAACTTTAAAGCTCAGTTTATATAAAATTTGCATTAAAACTTATGATTTTTTTTAAATTGGTTTACAACCAAGAAACATACATACGATAATAGAAATGCTCAACTTTGAACATAGTTTTACTTTTAACCCAACCTTTAATTATATAGTGAGCTTTAAAGTTAAAGGTTACTTCAGAAAACGACCCTTAATATGGTTAATGACTACAATATGGGCATCTTTATGTCTTAACTATACGTAGCACTATGATTAAGTTTGAAAATTTTCGTGGCCAAAATTAATTGTGAAAAGTATTTAGTATTTATTGAAATTCGATTTCACATATTATTGAAAAAAAAAACCTTAACCCTCGACGACGGAGGGGCCCATAAGGAGTTACTGTTTAATTTGTGGTTTTATTGGAAAGTTTGAATTTCCTAATATGTCTGCTAAAAAGTTAAAAGGAGTCGCCTTTGCAGTAAAAAAATTGTAAACAGCATTTTATTTCCTCTTTATTTAGTTCTCCCCTCCAAATAGTTCACTACGGACATTATAAAAAATACTTACAAAAAGAGCCATTTTCTCAGAAAACGCAAAAAAAGCGCAACATGAAATCGACAAATTAAATTAAAAACTACATTTTACACATTTTTAATATTCTTAACACGCCAAATATGGCCATCATTTTAAAATCATATTGAAATATAATTTTTTTTGGAAAAAAAATAAAATTAAACAAAACAATAAAAGAAAACAGGTTTAGATAGATCTTTTCTATTTTTCCCTATATTTTTGGTAATTTTTTAAATAACTGTTAATTTAAATATGGTTATTTGAAAACTTTCCGCTGAGTTCTTCGACCTGTCGTTTTAAAAAGAAATATTCTCTGTCTGTCTGGCGTAATCAACTACAGTTACATTACTTTGACCGCCCTTTTGTATCAATTGTATACCTTTTCACAAAGGAGCGTGGCTATTGGAGACAAGTTACCCTAAGCAAGAAAATGTGTTGAAATACGAAAAAAAAAATAAAAGCTGGTTTCCTGAAAATTTATTTAACTACATTCCAAATATACCTAAAATAGTGTATTTGTACCGAATTTACTTCCAAACTAAATAAAGGTACGATTGTATCAACTTTTCCATCACTGTAGCTAATCGAGCAGCTGAAAGTGTGTGAACACTAAATGGGTGGCAGCTCAATTAAAAGGTTAATTGACTCAATTAAATTTCTGTTTGAAGTAAATATAAAAATAGTTAGTAATAATAATACAACTGCTTTTTTATTGTTGAAGCTTTCTATCATTTATTTTGCAACACAATTCAATTCAGTAATTGTACGAACAATTTTACGAATCGGAAAAAAACACACTGTTGATCCGGATAGCCGGATTTTATTCATATACACGAATATACGAACGGATATCCGAATATACGGATAGTCCCAGCCCCAATTTTAAGCTTTCAGTTAATTAATTATTGCTATTGAATATTTAAATTAGGTAATAATATAATTCGAATAAGGAAGTACGTGAAAAGAAATAAAAATGTAATAAGTAAGGCACAAAAAAACCACCGCTTGGGTTTATTTATAATTTAAACGAATAAAAGCTGAAACTGGAATACGAGCCTTCTGTTTATAACTTCCAAAGTGAATCAGAGGGATAGCTTTAAACTTGAATTAACTGAAATCGAGCGTCATCCGGTAGAGCGTAAATTCATCATTTCATTGCTTTTGGGCGAGTCTGTGAGTCATATAAATACATACATATAGAAATGGGTCAACTAGGCGCCTGCCAAAGCTTGAAATCGAGTGCTTTGGCTAATACATACATATGTAGGTATGTACGAGCGTTGTGCCAATTTTTACTTCTTGAGTTTCATTTAGTTGATTAGCATATAAAGTTATAAAGTGAAAAAAGGAGTAAGTCTGCGTAGCAAAGCT